GGGGTTATAGTTAAACTGGGGAAGCAATAACCAGGCTTGGAGGGAGAGATGGGGAGGCATCCCGGCTAAGGAACTGACCTGTGCCCAGGCAATGCCAAGGCTCTCTGTGGAAACAGCTCTGTGCCTGCAGAGGAAGAGCAAAGGGAAGCAGGAACAGTGTGGCTGAGACAAAGCAATCGCAGGCAGAGCAGAGGGAAGTGAGTGCAGGGAGATGAGCAGGACTTTGTGAGAAACTGGAAGGTACTGAAGCATATTAATCAGGAGAATGGCAAGGTCAGATCTGGATTTTTAAAAGCATATTCTGAATGCTTAATGGAAAATAGACCAAAGATGGTAACACTGATTCCAGAAAACCAATTAGGCAGTAATTGTACCAGGACCAGGGACAAATAATGATGGAAGTAAGGATGGGAGATAGAGTTGGGTATGGGGGACTTTTAGGAAATATGTCATTAGGGTTTGCTTAAAAATTGAGTGGAGATAAGAAAGAAGGAGGGATTGGAGAGAGATCCAAGATGGCTGATTACTAGCAGCTCAGGACTGTAGCTCCCAGTGAAAGTGCAGAGAACGAGAGGACACCACACTTTCAGACGAATTTTTGTTGCTCACAGACCAGGAGCTCATGGTCGTCAGAGCGACTCTTGTGGCCAGTGAGGCGGTTTTGCCGGCACCCTGGTGTGGTGGTTCTTGGTGCAGAGTAAATGGGACTGGGTCCCCTTTTGGTCAACATTTGGAGCTCCGGGAAGGCAGAGTCACCTATTCAGCTGAATGAAAAAGGGACTCAAGAAGGAAGCCAGACTGGAGATTCCAGGGAAGAAAAGCACCATGAATCTTAACACCACTGTTTTAGCCAGGGCAGTGGGTTGCTCAGATTCCAGTGCTGGGAATCAACAAGTTGGATGTCCACTCAGAGACCTAATTTAAAAGTTGGTAATTACAAAGACGACAGGTGGATAAATTTACAATGATGGGAAGAAACCAGAGTAAAAAGGCTGAGAATACCCAAAATCAGAATGCCTCTCCCTCTACAGGGGATCACAGGTCAGCATCAACAAGGGAACAAGGCCTGATGGAGAACGAGTGTGTTCCAATAACAGAATTAGGCTTCAGAAGGTAGATAATAAGAAACTTCTGTGAGTTAAAAGAACATGTTCTAGCCCAATGTAAAGAAACTAAGAACCTTGAAAAAAGGTTTGATGAAATCCTAAAGAGAATAGACAATTTAGAGAGGAATATAAGTGAATTAAAGGAACTGAAGAATACGAGAACTCTGCAAAGTATGCACAGGTTTTAACAGTTGAATTGATCAAGCAGAAGAAAGGATATCAGAGGTCGAAGACCAACTTAATGAAATGAAACCAGAAGACAAGATTAGAGAAGAAAGAGTAAAAAGGAATGAGCAAAGTCTCCAAGAAATATGGGACTATGTGGAAAGACTCAGTTTACATTTGATAGGTGTACCTGAATGTCATGAAGAGAATGAATCCAAGCTGGAAAATATTCTTCAGGATATTATTCAGGAAAACTTTCCTAACCTAGTAATGAAGGACAACACTCAACTCCAGGTAATACAAAGAACACCACAAAGATATTCCTCAAGTAGAGCAACCCCAAGGCACATAATTGTTAGATTCACCAGGGTTGAAATAAAGGAGAAAATTCTAAGGGCAGCTAGAGAGAAAGGTCAGGTTACCTATAAAGGGAAGCCTATCAGACTTACAGCAGATCTCTCAGCAGAAACCCTACAAACTGGAAGAGAGTGTGAGTCAATATTCAATATCCTCAAAGAAAAGAATTTTCAACTCAGAATCTCATATCCAGCCAAACTAACCTTCATAAATGAAGGAAAAGTAAAATTTTTCACAAACAAGCAAGTACTCAGAGATTTCACCAGGTCTGCTTTACAAGAGCTTCTGAAAGAAGCACTATACACAGAAAGGAACAACCAGTATCAGTCATCCCAAAAAACTTACCAAAAGGTAAAGAGTATCTCCATAATGAAGAATCTATATCAACTAATGGGCAAAATAGCCAGCTAGCATTAAACGACAATATTAAACTCACAAATATCAATATTAATCCTAAATTTAAGTGGATTAAATGCCTCAATCAAAGACACAGGCAAATTGGATAAAAAGTCAAAACCCATTGGTATGCTGTATCCAGATCCATCTCATAAGCAAGGACACACAAAGACTCAAAACAAAAGGTTGGTAAAATCAAATAGAGAGAGAGAGAAAAAAAGGCAAACAAAAAAAAAAAAAAACAGGAGTTGTAAGTTTTGTCTCTGATAAAGTAGACTTTAATAGTAACAAAGACTAAAAGAAACAAAGAAGGACATTACATAATGGTAAAAGGATCAATGCCACAACAGGAGTCAATGATCATAAATATGTATGCACCCAATATAGGAACACCCAGATACATAAGACAAGTTCTTAATGGCTTATAAAGAGACTTGGACTCCCACACAATAATAGTGGGAGACTTTGACACCACATTGTTAATATTCGATGGATCAATGAGATAGAAAATTAACAGGGACATCTATGATTAGAACTCAGACCTGGAACAAGTAAACTCAGTGAGTATTTATAGAATTCTTCACCCCAGGTCCACAGAACATACATTTTGCTCAGTAACACATTACACCTATTTTGAAAGTGACCACATAATTGGAAGTAAATCACTCTTCAGCATTTGCATAGCATTTCACAGACTTAAATGAAATATTGTTTGGCTGTTTGTTTGTTATTTTCTTCCCTTATTCCTTCCTGTCTCTGCTGTTAAGCACAACTATCGGCATAAAAGAGGTTTTTAATACCTATTTTTAGATTGCATTTCAGCCTGGGCAATAGAGCAAGACTCCTGTTCTCTCTCCCCATTTCTCTTTCTCTTTCTTTCTGATAATAATAATAATAAAAAACCTCTCCATACTAGCCAATGCAATTAGAGAAGGAAAAAAATGAGAAGCATAAAAATTAGGAGCAAAATGATTTCTTTTTCAGATGATACAGTTATATGCTCCCAAATCTGAGGAGAATTAATTGAATAATTTCTAGAAAAGTGATAGTAGTAAGGTTGCTTATTACAAAATTAATATTTTAAAAACCAAGTTTTACTCTTTATTTCATTTTCATTCATTCCATTTCATTCAATCAACTATGACTTATAAGCCCTTTTATTTTTGCAAAAAAAAAAGAAAAAAAAGAAAGAAGGATTATTAATTGGATGACTCTCAGATTTCTACAAAGAACAACAAGGTGGGTTGGGTGCTATTTCCTGAGATGGGCAACCATAGAAGAAGAACAGATTTGGGGAAGACACTGAGAACTCAGCACTGGACGTATGGACGTTAGAGCTGATGGGCTGTCTAAGTGCAGATGTGGCGTGAGTAGTTGAATGGATGAGCTTAGTGTTGGACAGTGAAGACCAGATAGAGAAATAAATGTGGGTACGAATGAGTCTTCAAATGCATTTAAAAACCATGGGAGCAGATGAGATCATCTACATTGGCAAGTATAAGATCCCAAACAAGGATGCCACAGGGAAGACCAGGAACAGGATGTTGGCAAAAAAGACTTGAGAAGGGGCAGTTTGCCAAGTAGAGAAAAATTAGAGTAGTGACAAAGAAGCCTGGGAGGAGGCTTTTGAGCAGAGGAAGATGTGTCAGCGTCTCTCCAGTCCATGTCCTTCTTTTCCTGGATACCCATCGAGACCACACATCCCAGCCTCTCCTGCCATGTGGCCGCCTTTCACACCCATGTGATGGAGATCTAGCCAACAGAAGTGAGGCAATGGGCATGTGAGTCGCTAGGTATGGCTGCAGGCCTTACGGCGTGCCAGAGCCACAGATGGAAGGAGGAGTCTGTGTCCTGAGTGCCAACATGGAGAAGAGCTGACCTGTCCCCTTGAACACCTGTCGTCCAGGATGACTACAGGAGCAAGAAAATAAACTTTCACGTAGTTGGATCATTAGATGTTTCAGTTTGTGCATTACAATGGGGAGCCCCACCTAAGGCACACAGGCAATGAGACTCAATGGATGCTGCAGTTAGGAGCCATGGAGGTGTGAGGACTGACTGCTAGGGGTGGATGAATACAACAGAAAGTGAGAAAGGTGCCAAGAATGAACTCCAACCTTCCTAGAAACTGCTTTGTGAAGGCTGGGCCATTGGGGAGCAGAAAGTGAGAAGGCAGAAGATGGAGAAGGACAGGGAGAGGACATTTCTCAAACACTTTCAGACAGAAGCACGAAGAGCATGTGTATCTCTAGGGAAAGAATGACCAGAGGGAGAGAATGAAGGAACAGGGAGGAGAAAATGGCTTAGCAAGAGGCCTGGACCATAAATAGGGAATGCATATGTATATGTATATATATATTTCTATTTTATAATAGAACCCAATAAAAAGAAGCATAAAGTGAAACAATCAAGAAATAATTGCTAAAATGCAGGCCACTGTGTAACTGGGGAAAGGTAACCCAATATGGACATATCCACTTAAGAATTTCCAAAACCTAGAAGGGAGCGGAGGAAATAGCAGGTGCTCAGTAAATATGCGTTGAATGAATGAACGAATGTTAAGTTACTAGGAGTGGCCTCTGGGTAGCAGGATTGACAGGACTGCTTTAAGAGGAATTGCATGGTGTTAAGGAGAATAAGAAAATGGGGGTGCTATTGCACAGACTGGCATAGAGAAAGACCCAATGATGCATAGTTTTATTTTATGCTATGTATTTTACCAGTGGTCAGTCTGTCACCCGGTTAAATGGAGCGCTGGTGGTGAGGACTATATGAACGGCTCTCTCAGAGCAGGACACGGCAACTGTGAGTTCACCCAGCTTTAACCTTGGGAACTGCTGGCAGCTTGTCACAGGCACAGGGTTACCACAGCACACGTTGCAATGAGAAGCATCTGAGACAGTTCCACATTCTGTGACCTCACTTCTTCCCTTGGTGATTGCCAATGTTCTTAGATTGTTCCAGCTACAAAACAGAGTCTGAAAACGTGCAGTTCTCTTTCCATCGACCTGGCCTCCCTGCATAGGGCAATGGAGTCGTGGACGTGGGGCTGTTTTCAAGGTTGAAGCCTATTGGCAATTACTGTAGAAGTATTTCTAAAGAAATGACAGCTCTGTGGGATCGCCCAAGAATGTGGCTTTTATAAAAACTGGGCACAGATATTCAAAATTTGGTGCTGGTGCGCACATAGTGAGGATGTCTAGGGAATGAACATCTCCGTTGTAGCCTTTTCTTCACTCTCACACCCTGTAATAGAAACTCTGCTTTTCAGTTAACCCCTAGAGAGGGATCATGGGAGGGCACTTAACTAAGAACTGGACGTATTCACAAAGGCATGTCTCTAAAAAAAAAAAGTGTGCCCTCCCTGGCTCTTTCCCATTCCAATTGTTTGTAACATAGACAGACTGATAGCTGATGTGGATAACACAGACAAGGGCCACACTCCAGAGTGATGAGCACAGAGTTAGGAGGAGCCAAACCCCTGGCTCTGGCAGGTGTTATATCAGATTTTGACCATTACACTCAGGATTTTATGTGAGAGGGAGTTGGAGGCTGAATAATGCTGCCTTCCCCATTAAAGATAGCACCGTCCTAATTCCCAGAACCAGTGAATATGGTACCTTAAATGGCCAAAAGGACTTTGCAGATGTGATGAAGTTAAACACCTTGAAAGGGGGAGATCATTCTGAATATCCCAGTAGGCCCAATATAATCTCAAAGGTTGTTCCTTATAAGAGGGACTCAGTGGGGCTCATAGAGCAGGCAGTACAATGATAGAAGCAGAGAAGTTTCAAAGATGCTGCACTGCTGCTTCTGATGATGGAGGAGGAGGAGGCCACCAGCCAGGGAATGCAGGCAGCCTTTAGAAGCTGGAAAAGGCAAGGAAACATTCTCTAGAGAACTTGTAGATGATTAAATACTGGTAATAAGGTACTATGCCAGGATGTTAATGTAATTTCCTTATGCCTCTGTTCTGGCTGAGGTCCCAAGCAAGGCAAAGAATAGATGCCCCCTTGCCCCACTTTCTCAACGTGTTATACCATCCACTAAGGGTCGCAAAAGTGGTGGACAAAATAGGACTCTGCAGTATTAGCATATGACCCAACTGCAGATTATATAAGATAGGGTGAGGGTGGAAGCTGCTAGTGGTGAGAACTTCCTTGGAAGTAATCAATTGGTTGGGGATTCCTCACCTTCCCTCTCCTGAAGCCCAGGGAGTGAACTGTGTAAAGAGCTTCACCATGAGCTCCCTGAAGTTGCCGGGCCCGATGTCTTCGGTGGCACGAGCAGGGCAATGCAGAGGTTCAGTGCCAAACGTGAATGGACCATGGAGTCAGGAAGTTTCAGACCCACCCACTGCATGGGCCCCTTCCAAGGTCTATACCTAATTTATATTCATAAAGTGTACTCTTCTTCTTAAATAGGACTTCCAAAACAACAAAAGCTACAGGGGCACAACATCTGTATCTTCCCTGGTGTGTGTAGCCTGAGGCCAATTGAGAATTCTGAGGCAGATAGCTGAGGAGGCCAGGTATCCTTAGTTGGGAGGTCCTTGGTTGCAGGGCGGTACTTCTGAGCAACCCACCCCTCTGTCCCCACGAGAGATGGAGTTAGCCAGCAGACCTCTCCAAGGGCAGGGTGTACCAGAGCCAAGATATAACCAAGTTGGCCAGGTTCTGTTCTCCTCTCCTTGAGTCCCCTTTCCCACTTAGCTCAACTTCCTTGGGAGGCATTGAGACAGGGGAAGACACAACTTACGAGAAGGGGAGGGAGAGGAGATGGAGGGAAGAGAGAAGAAACTGATCATGCTGTCTCTCAGGCATGCTGAGTTGTCGCTGATGTGATAACACCCAATCTACTGGATCCCCCAGAAAAACAGGGAGGAAGTTTGAGTTAACTGCCACAAAGTAAGGAAGAAGGATGGATGTGGACTTAGATTAAGCTTACTGAGTTTCTAGCTCCTGATCTAGTCAGTCCTTTGATTCTGCCTTTCATCTCTGGGGTATTTTCGTAGGTTTTGATTCAAAATGTTACCAGTGAAGCCTTGTGTAAGAGTGGAATTATAGAGGAAGCGTTTAGTTTGGGCACCGCTACACAGGGTCTCTCCTGACTCGGGGATCTATCTCAGCAACAGCTGTAACTTAGTCACCGCTTGTTTAGAAACTGCCATGTGCATTGATTTCCACTTTTGCACAATTGATTTTTGCTTCTGTTCCCATTTGTTCCTTTGCTTTTGGACAGATATCACATGATGAGTGTCTGAGAATTGTCTCAGAGAGGTCAGGAGACCTCGTGAAGAAAGACCTTCTCTGTCGATACCAAACATCAACACGCAAACGTCCAGATTTATGGCGGAGACAGTACGGTATGAATTTAACCTGAGCCTTTTTGTTTCCTACCCTAACTTGACGTCAAGTAATTTAGAAAAGAAAGAACTTGAGGAGCTATAATTGCAAACCGTGGGGACACTAGCCTTGGGTTCTTTTAAAATCTGGCCAAAGTCCTTATATTCTTCCAATAATCTCTGGTTGAAGAATTTTCCAGCACAGTAGAAAGATTAATACATTCCCAGTAAGCAATTTCCTTGATAAAATGACAGCTCTACATTTAGTAGCTTAATTTGTTTCTGTAGAGGATTTCCTGCTTTTTCATCCCTTAGCTACCCAGAAAGTAGAGTCTATTAATTCTCAAAATGGCAACATATTGGAGGACATATTAAAGCCTGTCAGTATTTCCCACCCTTCATACTCCAAAGCTTAAAAATCAAAATTTTGATTTTTGACTATATTGTGTCTTTCCTTGACAATATTTCAAAGTATCTTTCTAAGTCTCACTGGAACCTAGCATTATTTTCCAAATGTCCGGCCGATGAGGTGACGAAGTGATGTTAAACATGAGAACACCACTTCAGTCCGCGGGGCCATCTATGAAGAGCGGTCAGTCTCCCACGAGCCAGCTGCTGAAGATGACAAAAGGTGTGGTATGGACAGTCGAGGAGACCTACAGGCATTCCCTTACCCATCTATAATTAATTATTGATTTCTTGTTTTGTGAGTGCAATGGTGGCAAGAGCCCAATGAAATGAATCCAAGAGTGGGAAGAAAAGAAAGCCTGGTGCGAGACAGGCCATGAAGGGCGTGACGCCACTCGCGTCAAAGCTCATTCTTCACTTGCTGTGCAAGCCGAGAGTCTATCTTCTCTGACAATAAAAGGAAGGACATTGAAAGATTAGTTTTACGTTTTCTTTCTCTCATCACGAAGGAAGGAGCCAATACAGTATCTCTATTCAGAGAAATATGACCTTACTGTTTCAAGCACAGGCAGTTTGGCATTCTTCAAGACATGAGCCCACTGTGCAAGATACCAACATTTTATGTGAGGTGGGGTGGAGGGGGGCACAACCATCAAAACACCAGGCCATCAATATTAGGAGGGAGAAATAGTCTGGTTTCTAACCCTGCTGCTTGTCAACAAGAGATTGAGTCTGACATCTGATCTACCTGTGATTTGATCCCTACACTAGGAACTAAGGATTTTATTTATATTTTATTTTTAATTGTTTGAGACAGGGCCTCACTCTGTCACACAGGCTGGAGTGCAGTGGTGTGATCTCTGCTCACTGTAGCCTCCACCTCCCACCTCTGCCTCTCGAGTAGCTGGGATTACAGGCATGCACTGCCATGCCCAGCTAAATTTTGTATTTTTAGTAGAGATGGAGTTTTACCATGTTGGCCAGGCTGGTCTTGAACTCCTGACCTCAAGTGATCTGCCCACCTCAGCATCTCAAAGTGCTTACAGCATGAGCTACCGCGCCTGACCTGAACTACAGATTGTAATTCACCCAGACAGATAACTGAGTGGATGCTGTTCTCTGTGAAGCACTTAGCATTTCTTAGAGCAAAATGAGCTTCAGGATCATAAAGTCAACAATGGAAAAAATAATCTACCACTTAACAACAGGGACTGCTCTGACCCTCTCCATACTAACTTTACATGGTCTGTTTGAATGGCCTGGCTTGTCTTCCAGGCAAACTGTCCATGGTGAAGCAAGGACATGAAGCACGGAGGTTCATCCTCTCAATTCTGACCACCATCATTCAGGACCCAGCACTCCCTCTTGTAAACATGGGACTCTGCTTCCTATAGAAATATCACTGGCAGGCAGAGCTGCATGGGAGAAGGGACAAAGGCCATGGGAAGCAGACACTTGATAGGCCTCTAAGGACTAGGGGAGACAGAGTAGAGAGACCAGGGGGAAAGAAGCTGTAAAAATGAAGGCAGAGGTGAATAGCGATGATGACAATGACAAATTGAAATCCTTGGATCCAAACCTTCAGCTGCCTGTGGACAGGATGGCAGAGATGGCCCTTGACAAACAAACAGCTTGGAAAAATGTGGTAGAATGAATGGCAGCAACTCCCTTGGATATATTCCTTTCCATTTCACAAAGCACCGTGATGACTGCAGGTCCGTCTGAGACTTAAGCAATCCCCCGAGGCGAGTGTTATGGCTCTCCCAACATGGATGGGAAAACCAAGGGAGGGGGTGGGATTGAGGGAGAGATGCCCACAGTTTTCACAAAGGGCTATGGAGGTTCTCTGACACAAAGGTCAAGGATAGATACAGACTTGGATACACTAAGTGGAAGGAAGGCATCATGGTGACCCAGGCTTCCAAACCTTCAGAGACCCAAGGGCATGTCCCGTTGCCTCCAGGAAACATGCTGCCAAGTACAAGAACTGCCAGAGACCATTTTAAGAGGTCGTTTGCTTTTCTGGTGGCTCTGCATCAGGAATGGCTGCTCACCAGGTACAGATGACACCAAGCAACCCCAGTGCATCTGAAACCCGGTGAATCGGGGGCTACTCACTGTGTTCCACCCCTCAGCAGAAGCGGCCAGAGGGCTGCCCGAGTGAGTTCAGTCATCTGCCCAAGGTCATGCTTCTGTTAAGTGACAGGGCTGTGCTGGGGACCCCTGGCCATATGCTGTTTGTGTTTCACCAAATTGTGGGATGAACCTTTCAGACACCGACGTGATCTCCAGTTTTGTGAGAAGTTGAGCATCGTGCATCAGTAAAGCACAGTCTGTCTATTCTCCTCTGCTTCAAACAAAATTTGAGGAACATATTCATTTTGGGGTGATGTATTACAAAAGGGATATAAACAAACTTACATGCATTTGAGAAGAAGAGATTGCAATGGTGAAGGCTGTGGAAAGGCTGAGATGTTAGAATTTAGCAATGTGATGGGATTTAGGGATGTGTTAACCCCCAATGTGGCACCTTTGCATTTGGAAAAACAGCAGAGGCAGAAAGGTCTCTCTCACCTTCCCCTCACACTTCTTCCCTTAAGCCGGTCATAAAACCTTCATTCAAGAGGTGCCTTCTTTTTTTTTTTGAGATGGAGTTTTGCTCTTGTTACCCAGGCTGGAGTGCAATGGCGCCGTCTCGGCTCACCGCAACCTCTGCCTCCTGGGTTCAGGCAATTCTCCTGCCTCAGCCTCCTGAGTAGCTAGGATTACAGGCACGCGCCACCATGCCCAGCTAATTTTTTGTATTTTTAGTAGAGGCGGAGTTTCACCATGTTGACCAGGATGGTCTCGATCTCTTGACCTCGTGATCCACCCGCCTCAGCCTCCCAAAGTGCTGGGATTACAGGCTTGAGCCACCGCGCCCAGCCAAGAGGTGCCTTCTTATACTGGAGCAAGGGAGCATCCTTCTGTCTGGACTCACAGGGGCACAGAGAGGAATCCACAATGCTCCCCTGTTTATCACCATTAGATCATACCCTTTGTCCTCCAATCTGACTTCCCTGGGGCTGTCCACCCTTCATCAGACTTCAGCAAAGAAATACACAAGTTTACCTGTTTCTTTGGGGGTTTATTCCTTACAGAGGCTCTCAGGTCACATAAGGAACTTTATATTAGATAATTTTTGATGCTTTTCTCTTGTTATTATAATTTGCTTTTCATTATAGAGGCTTCTGCCATGAACCTAGTGATGGGTGAGGGAGGATATTAATTTTCCTCCCTGCACATTTTAGACCTAGAGAAGTAATGACCGTGTAGATAAAGATGGCTAGCTTCAAATCCAGGAAGGCTACTGCAGAGAAGAGAGATTAGACTTTTTCAGTACAGCTTTTTGGAGGAGAGAAGTTGCAAATAAAGAGATTTTTGCTTAATACAAGTAAGAAGTTTTGGATGATCACAGCCACCCCAAAATGGGATAATACGCCTCATTAGGTTGTGATTCCAACCGCCATTAAAGCCACTGGAGAAGAAAATGACTGCTGGAATGTGCTGCCTTTCTTCTCAAGCCACAGACCGTTTTCAGGGGTTATGCTGTGCCCTGTGCCCATCCTCTCTGGCAGGGGGCTCTGGCCATGGCACTGAGTTCTCACCCTGGGGTGTGGGCCCGAGACTAGCAGCTTCTGTGCCAGTTGCCCTCCTCTCTCTGCTCTCACCCTATGGGCTGGAATGAGAAGAGGGCAGAGCCAGGGTGCTCTGTTTACACAGGCAGGAACGACTTTTCTTTTGCAAGGCAGAGCGATGTGACAGGCATCAGGGTCACCTGCTGGCCTTGGGCCACCTGCCTGAGCACATACAGATCCATGAGAGGGAAAGGGAGCCTCTTGTAGTCTCAGCTCCTATAGTTTTGGGTCTCTCTGAAAGAGATTTAGCCCGTGTTCCAACCAATACAAGTTCTTCTTGTGCAGATTACTAAGGTAGCATCGAAGACATGATGATTTCTATAATCTTTTAATTCTATGTCCTCCCCCAAACCTATCTTCTTTCTTTCAAAACCAGCCATCCTGACAATTCCCCAACCATAGTCAAACATAAGCATCCTATTCTTTCAATCAGTTCATTTCTTTGTAAGTATCAAGTTCTAAAAAGTCAAGAACTTCTTGTCTCCTGCTTCTCTTGTCCCCCGACATGCATTCTCTTCCTGTGGCACACTGTCTTTTCCTTTAGAAACCATCCTCTGCAACAACACTGAACATCTAACTTCTATTTGTGCTTATCTAAACTTAAAGACTGGCTTTAAAAGGGCGAGGCATCCTTTAACCTGCAAGTGATCACCTTCTACACCTGTTTGTTTGTGTTCCTTTAGGAGAAAATGAGCCAGAAGGCCAGGCTTCACAAGTCAAAGGTTCAGATGATACAAATATGCTTTGGTTCCAAATCCATCATGAACTGAACATGGTTTTATATTAAACAATACACCCAGGCAGAAGAATATTCTGATTTGAATTAGAATGTGTCTCTTTAGGTAACATAAAGTAGGAGAGCTAATGAAATGACAGCCTGGCCTCTGTGCCTGGGTTCGACAAGAAAATGAGCATGACAGATGGAGCCGAATTCTGCTCCATGGACATGCTACTCTCCACCCAGTTTCCATCTCCCTTCATGCTTTCCCTTTTATCCAGAATATCCTTATCTCTTACCTCCTGATTACCAAAACTCCGTAATTTCCTCTCAAGATTTGGTCCACATGTTTCTTTCCCTTAGTCCATGCTTTAAAATCTGTAGTACATAATTCAGAACTAAATAAAGCTGCCGTTATAGTTTCATATTTCATCTTTACCCCTAGTACCTCCTTCCTACGTCTTATGCTTTCCTTTGCAACTCCTCTTTTGCTAAGCCTAGAAGGTGTTTAATAGATAGATTTGAAGCATGGATAATTAAAAGATATGGATCAGACATTTTTTTCAATGATATGCAAATTGTCAGTGAAGAACAAAATAGAAATCTATTTCCCCACTGATTGAAAACAATTCATAAAGATGAATGAATTTGGTTTTCTCACAAAGGAGCTTTTCAAGGAAAGCTTTTTTGAATCTGGAGCTTTGCTATTAGCAGCACTTACGACACTGGGCACAAAGAGCCTCCTTTCATTTCACAACTGTGTAATTTGGAAATTATTAAGAACAGCTCTGTCTCGATATTTTTAAATCATGGGTCAACTAAAAACATCACCATTCATTTGTCTAGCCCATCCTTCTTGACTCTCTTCACGTGAAACATATTTTTTTGGTATTTACTATTTTTTTAATTGTACTTTAGGTTGTGGGGTACATGTGCACATCGTGCAGGATTGTTGCATAGGTACATACATGGCAAGGTGGTTTGCTGCCTTCACCCTCCCATCACCTACATCTGGTATTTCTCCCGTCATTATCCCTCCCCACCCTCCCACCCCCCGCTGTCCCTCCCCTAGTCCTCAATACTGACCGCAATGTGTGAGGCATCTTCAGCTCTTGAGTTTTACCTCCATTATATTCCTGCCAACACATTCTTTTTTTTTTTTTTCCCATGGAAATCGACAATTACCTTTGTGAACTCTGCTACCAACAATGAAAAACACTAAGATGGAAGACTCATATGACTATTCAAAGAGCCTGGAGAGTCTCTAAAAGCTACTTCCCTTCCATGAACAGAAGTATGAAAAGGTGGATTTCAGCAAAGGGGAAATGTTCAGGATCTGAAGGAAAAAGGGTCTTATTTCAGGCAGTAATATTTCATTGAGTTTCTGGAGCCACTAATTCAGAGCAGCCAGTTCCTTCCTAATTTATCCCCTGTTCCTCATTCATGGCTGTCTGTTTAGCTGGACTCTTTCCTGGACAAGGCTTCATTTGCCTCCTGGAGGAATTCAAGAAGGAATTCACTAAGGATGCTAAGATAGGAATTTCAAACAAAACAGAATCTAACCCAAACACTGTAGACACATGGCTGATGCCAGCCTATGATGGAAAATGCTTGGGGAAGGACTTAACAGTTGCCCCTTGAACCACATGGGTTTACACTGTGTGGATCCACTAATAATACAGTTTTTTTTCAATAAAATGCGGATCAACAATACAGTATTTGTGGGACGCAAAACCCGTGTATAAGGAGGGCTGATTAATTTCTGCAGGGCCTTGAATATGCATGGATTTTGCTCTCTGCAGCAGTCCTGGGACCAATCCCCTGTGTATACTGAGGGATGACTGCAATTGATCTAGAACCTCTATTTAATTTTGCATTCTGTTCCAACTTAAACACACTTCCTCTTAGGTAACGGGAAAATTTTGAAAGAGAAATATTTAAGCTAAACTTTGTAAACCTAAAGTGCAAAGTAATGAATACTTAAGGGAAGTTAGAAAGGCCTCGGGGAAATCTAGAAATAGACTATAACTCAGTAGGGACAGCTATTACATATTTATTTATTTTCCCCGTTGGCTTTGAAAAAGACAAATTTTCCCTCTGGCAAGGTGGGTCTCATTCCCTATGATGTGAGCTCTTTGCTGTGGCCCCATGTCCCTGACCAGTGAGTGGCCGGTAACCTGGGGGATGGGGACTGTAGATGGGGATGGAGGCAGTAATGATCTTGGCTGTCTTTCCACTTCCTGCAGGCAGCCAGGGGGCTGCAGGTGGGTGCTGTGGGCAGTTGCTGATGGAAGCCCACGCACCCTTCCCAAGTCCTATCTGTGCTTTCTGAATCCCTGCATGGAGACCAACCCCTATGCCATTCTCCCTGCTTATTAGTGATGGCCCCTAACCCCTGTATATATGGTTTTTTTGAGATGGAGTCTTGCTCTGTCGCCCAGGCTGGATTTCAGTAGTGCGATCTTGGCTCACCTCAACCTCTGCCTTCTGGGTTCAAGTGATTCTCCTGCATCAGCCTCCTGAGTAGCTGGGATTATAGGCACCCACTACGATGATGCTCAGCTTTTTTTTTTTTTAGTAGATATGGGGTTTCACCATGTTGACCATGGTCTCAAACTCCTGACCTCAGGTGATCTGCCCACCTTGGCCTCCCAAAATGCTGAGATTACAGGTGTGAGCCACTGTGCATAGCCCTCTACCCCATTTGTTAACTCAAATTTAAAATTCCATACTTGATGGCCTTGTCACAACGAAACAATAACTTTTGGGAAATGTTAAAAAAATTCTCCCCTCCTAACCAAAAAAGAAAAGTCAGGCATCCTATACTGAGCAGCATTTGGGAATTAGGTCTCAAATAAAACTTTCTAGATGTGACTTTTTTCTCTTAAGGCATTTTTGAGTCACAGTGCGGGTGAGGGCTCCTTGGAAGCGTGCAATATGAACTCCTGCCTGCCTTGCGAGAGTGCACTGAAAAAACACCGGGCATCTAGGTGATCCACGTTTGTCACTGGAGCACCGTCTTTTTCCCTTTGGATATAACGCCGTGAGGTTCTCAGGGGCTTAGGGACATGGATCAGACAGTTGAGTCTCCTATTCCTAGTGTGCAATGGTTCTTGATTTCCTGAATTGCATGCTCTGTTTCTCACTTTCCACATATTTATTTATATTAATATATATAATAGATATAAATAAATATATATATGTACCTGTATATACACACACATTTATATATTTCCAAAATTACTTGTTAACATTTGTTGATTTTTTTTTTTTCAAAATCTCTCTGTCATTATTTTTTAGTCTATTGTAGAATACTGAAACTCAGGAAAATGAGCTTGTTTTCTTTTCTGTAAGATGATTTAGGGTAAGACCCTGTGAGCATGGGTCTGTCCAGTCCAGAAAGTTCATGGATCTTTGGAGCTACTCAGGGGACACATGGCCTCTTTTCTGGCTTCTTCACTAATTCTCGTTTCAGTTGTGTTTCAATGCCTGAGCCTGGGAAAGTGCCCTCCACGTCTGTGACGTGTCTCAGAGCCCCACGCTGAGTGTTTAGCTCAGGGCCCAGGTGAAGCCAGCCTTACCTTTTTGTAGAGACTCCTCAGATCTCGGTACTGCCACATGCTGTTGAGGACCTGAGATGCGGCCTTGACCACTTTTGGAGAGTGTCTGATGAAGGAAAGACAGGAAAGGCAATACATGAGTGGGACAGCTGTGTCACAGTTCTGTAGTTCTCGTAATATCTCAAACGTCTTCATTATTATTCTGTCTACGATAGTGATCTGTCATCAGTGCTCCTTGATGTTACTTCTCTAACAGTTTGGAAGTACCACGAACTGCATCCATGTAAGATAGCAACCGCAATCAATACGTATGTGTTCCGACTGCTCCACCGACTGGCGATTCCTCCTCTCTCTCTCTCTTCAGGCCTCCCTCTTCTCTTCCGTGAGACAAAATAATGTTGAAATTAAGCCAATTAATAACCCTACCACAGCCCCCATGTGTTCAAGTGAAAGGGTTGCACGTCTCTCACTTTAAATCAAAAGCTAGAAACAATTAAGCTTAGTGAGGAAGGCATGTCAGAAGCCAAGCAGGCCAAAAGCCCAGCCTGTTGTGTCAGTGAGTCAAGTTGCGAATGCAAAGGAAAAGTTCCTGAAGAAAATTAAAAGTGCTGCCCCAGTGAACACATGAATAATAAGAAAGCAAAACAGGCTTCTTGTTGATACAGAGAAAGTTTGAGTAATTTGGATAAAAAACCAAACTAGCCACAACACTCCCTTCAGCTAAAACCTAATCCGGAGCAAGGCCCTAACTCTCTTAATTTTATGAAGGCTTGAAGAGGTAAAAAAAAAAAGCTACAGGAGAAAAGTTTAAAGCTAGCAGAAGTCGGTTCATGACTTTTAAGGAAAGACAGTATTTCTATACCATGAACTAAACGAGTCGTGTGATTTGCTTTATTGAGATATTCGTTTTGCTGCAGTCGTGTGGAACCAAACTGACAATATCTCTCAGGTATACCTGTAATTCCTTTGACTTAAAGACACAGAATTTTGGATCTTTCCATGAATCCAGATGAAACTATGTTTCATTCTCATATAATCAACGCTGAACCAAGATTAAATGCGATATTTTGTTGTATTTTATCATTTAGCTAAATATTTGTTCATGACAATGGCCAAGCAACTCTAGAAAAATACATTTTAATATTCAGGTGGTGACAGTGTAGTTGAAACATAATTAGTATGCACAGATTCCTCTGATAGAGTACAGTCTTTTGTTTCTATCTCTTGCATAGTTACAAACCAGAAAGAGACTGTGAATGTGTAATGAATAGCAGGTTTTAACCTGTCGATTAACATGCCGGTACATCACAGTGTTACACTAACAAGTGAAGGTCAAAGAAACTTGGCTTTCTCTTTAGAGTTTAATTTTGATGTATTCACAGATGGGTACCACAGAAATTTCTACCTGAAAAACGCTTCTAAGTATTGATTGAAGGACGTGGACAATTGAGTGTTTCTAATGTGACAAGTGATTATAACCCCAGCAACGACACACAGTTCTTTACTGAGAGTAACAGTTGAGTCTGTTAACAGCTCTTCCATCTTATGACAAAATACACATTCAGCACAACTTCCTATATAGCTGTTAAAAATGAGAAGAAAACAAATGTATTTTTGAGACAGATGAACATGATAGAATGTCCATAATGGATGTTTAAAATGATGTGAAAAGAATCAGTTTTCAAGATTTCAAAATGGTGAGTATAAGACTTCTATGAGTTAATAACAAATACACAATTGGAGTCTGATCTTCATCAGAGCTGTCAAGTCAGGGGTGGTAAAGACGTCAGCTGGTGCAGTTCATTGTGGCTGTCAACACAGCTGTGCCAGTGGTGGGATCACAGAACAGCAGCTCCCTTGGTTGTGCTGCCAGACACCATGAGTTGTGCAGTTATGACAGACTGGGACTGGCAATTCGCCAGTCTGACTCATCAACATTACTGCATAATTAAGCTTGTATATATATATGTATATATATACGTATATACGTGTATATATATATAAAGAAAATGTATAAATATGTAACATGGAGAGTCATAGCAAGGCACATTTCTTCCGTCTGTGCTTTCCCACACTATCACAAATAAAAATCAGGTTTAAACTGAACTTATTTCTGGGAATAAGTTTTTGAGGACAATTTAGGGTGGGCAGATTTGCAATCATTTTATAAAGGAACTACTGTGCATTTGTTTTCCTGCTGTTCCCAATGATTAAATTAACCTCAATTCCAAAAATTTGATTTTCAATAAATTCTATTTCCTGAAAATTTGTCTGCAAGTCCATGGGAATCTCCATGCCTACTATCATAATAGAATTGAGTCAGAAATGGTGAGTTTCATTCAGATTTGGAGCAATTCTTGAGGATTCATTTTGTTTTAAGGAGCAACGAAAAGCAATTATAAAATTGAAGTATAGGTAGAAGATGAGGATAAATGTAGTTATAAAAACCTTGTTTTGATCCCCAAATTAGTCAGTATATAAAAAAATGAGATAAACTACATGAAACAGTGAATGAGACTGAGTAATCGAGAAAACTATAACCAGGAAGGTGCTTGATTCAATCCAATTTAACACTTCTTATTAAACTCATAAATCCAGGCTGCTGCCATTGGAAAAATAGATAAAGGAACAATGAGATGAAATGAGTGCCTATTCTATAGAAAAGTTTTCAGCCAAATTCAAGGGCATTTATGAGATCATCTGTAGTGAAAAAAATCTTCCCATTAACAATAATCAAGATTGGCCCTGGCTTATCAGGACCTTAGCAACATGGATATGTATCATTTCATAGACGGTTTCCTCGAGTGAGTTTTCAATTAGTTTCACCAAATAACTTTCTTTGACCATAGGGCTCAATAAAACATTTTTTTCCCTCTTTTAGGCCCATTTAGTGATGCTTATTGCTGTAGGGCTGCTCATACAGTGGGAGAGAATTAATACACGCCAAACCACTCCTCAAAGCTCTCTAACTGTATAATTCAGAGAAAATACTTTAATCTTTGAATGTCTCACAAATATAGACAAAAATAGATTGTTTTGCAGACAGTGGTTTCATTGTGTGTGTGGGTGTGTATGCTCAAAAGAGCATTACCATATTAAACTCTTAATGCTCAAAACAGGTAAGCACTTCAATTAGAGATTGCGAAGGGCTACAGAAGGTAAATACAGAAAAAAACCACATCGTTTCCTGCCTGCATAGTATAGTATTGTATTGTAAGTACAATAGCATAAGACATAATTCAAGCCAACAATCTATACTGTGCAATTATTATATGAGTCCAGTGGGGGTTCTCTACTTGATAGAAGAAAACATTCAAATCCAAATGCAAAATAGTTGATTGAGCCTATCTGGAGGTCTCCAAGTGCTGAAACAGAAATTCTGAATCTTCTATAATACGTTGGTGATATCCTGAATCAAGTGAAATAATGAGACAGAATTTCCAGAAAGTCTTAAAGTGCATCCCTCAAAGTGTTTAATAACAAAAGAAAAATTATTTAGCATTTAGATGTAAAAGGACGGGGAGGGGTTGCTTGGCAGGGAATGAAAAGTCAGGAAATAGACTCTTGATAACAAAATGTTTACCCTTTCGATCTTATTTGATCACATGGAATAACTTCCAAGAGGCAAAATTTAATTAAGGTTAGTGAAGGTTTCTGTAAAATTGACACCTTACTGATATACTGATGGGCTGCCTTGTGAAGCTGTTTTCTGGCTGTATATAGTAAGATACTGTTGGTTCTTAAAAACTGGGCTGGGGGGACATTCCTATTCAAGGAGGTGCAGTTGCTTTGACACCAAGTCCTATCTCTTTTTGTTCTACCTGCGTGAAGGCCCTCCTTTCTCACCACTATCCCCTTTGCCTGGGACATTTCTACTCATTCTTTAAGATTTGACCAGCTAGCATATTGTGATAGCCTCTCCATTGGGTTTAGATTGGAAAGTATAGGCGTAGTGACTTATTAAATTAAATATCTGCCCCACATCTCAGAGCTTGTAAGGGAGGGTACTGGATTAGAGCTGAGTTCTCTGACTCCATCACACCTTGTCTCCTCCCTCATCCTTCCTGCATGTGACTTGCTGTGACTTGGCGGCTGCTGTGATGTTGGTAAAGTGGACCTGACCTGGTCACAGAGCTAAAGAGGCAAAGAGCAGAAGGATGAAGAGACATCATCAACACATGGACTTCCCACCACAGAGGAACAACAACAACAAAACACTTCCACATATCTGGGTCGAATTCATGTCTCTTCCAGGTGGAAGGAGCACCTGGGTGTGCTGGTTTGTCAAGTCCACTTTACCAACAGTAAGAGAGAACACTGGGATTGCTGGGTCAAATGGTAGAACACATGGACACAGGGAGGGGAACATCACGCATGTTGGGGGATGGGGGGCTGGGGGAGGAATAGAGGTGGGGGGATTGGGGAGGGATAACACTAGGAGAAATGTCTAATGTAGATGATGGGGGGATGGATGCAGCAAACCACCATGGCACGAGTATACCTATGTGACAAACCTGCACATTCTGCAAATGTACCTCAGAACTTAAAGTATAAAAAAAAATTCAAGATAAAAAAAATCGAGAGAGAGAAGACTGGAAACCATTTGCCATTTTCCTTCTCTTGATTCTCAGAGACAAATGCCTTCGGTGACAATCATAGTTGAAAGGCACATTCAGAACCAATTTTACCAGGACAGAGATATGACGTCACCAGGTAACTTACTTATCTCCTTTGCTTTTGGAGATGCCGACCAACTTCTCGATGCCACCAGCATCCCGTAAGGCCTTGGCGTTCTCCATGTTCTTGGTAATAACTTCGTGCAGGGTGCAGCAGACGGCTGTCACTGTGTCATCCGACATGGCCTTGCTTGCCGTGCTGTTGCTGTTGTTCCCACCTGGAAGTCTGTGGACTAGGTCTCGCATGGCATATTTGCCTGGAAAAGAACATAAAGAGAATACTTGAAAGGAGGTCAAGGTGAAGGCAGAAGGCAGTGGCAGAGGTGGGTATGGGGGAGAAGAGAATACAAGAGGCCCTGTTTATGCAATATTGTTTGTTTCCCACCACTGCACGTTCTCTATTGGGTAACTTTGGACGCAGCTACAGAGAAAAAGCAGTCATTCCTCATGGCGGTGCATGCACTCTGCTGCTAGACTGACCTGGGATCAAAGCGTGTTATTTCATGGGCAAGTTATTTCATGCCTCTTAAGCCTCAGTTTTTTCAGTCTCTAAAGCAAGACAATAATGGTATCAACCATACATACAAGGTTGCTGTAAGGCATAAATGAGTGAATGTATGGAACGTATTTAACACATGGGGGTGAACAAGGACACAGGACTCAATAGGTGTTAGGTGTGATTATGTTCTTGCTTGATGTTTATAGAAGTCAAGAAAAATGTACGGAAACTCTAACATAACCCTCAAAAATACCTTAATGAAAGCTATGTCAGAACCTGTATTTTTTAACAACAGTCAAAGCACTAATGTGTGGAGAACATGATCACATATATGAGTCCCGAGTTTTGATTCCTTTAAAGCAAAGAGAAACATGGAAAGCAGGAGAGAGGCACTTGACAGTCTGTAACTGTGTGTCCTTTGAACTACAGTAACCTGACGCTGTTTGTCTCTCTGATGGTATTTTATTGTGTAGTTCTACCATGTAACCCTTACTAATTTGGTGTGTTTTGTGCGAAAAATATAATAAAATCCAATTCTGCTTCCTTAATTCACTTTAGCATTGTTAATCTGACTATTCCCAATGATAAAGGTACTTATAATGACATATTTATGGAGTACTTTTAGTTTACAAAGCACTTTAGGCATTACCAATAACACTGCAGACAATTTATCCCACCTGTAGCTGCCATTTCTGCTCCTTTAATTTACTTCTGGAAGTTAGTAAATGAGTGCCTGTAGCAAAGCTGGCTGTTCTCACATTTTTCAGATGTAATTGGCAAGTGCCTCAAGTTAGATCCCTTTCTTGTGTCCCATCCCTCAATGGGGCATATTTAGCTAGCTCCTAAAAGCTATATGAAATATTTCACCTTCATTTAGATCTGTAAATAATATCTTCTTCTGCTATTGAATTCTCAGGTGCATGGTGCCTGGCAGCAAAAGGGAACCTTGTGGGAGCAGGCAGTGATATCTTCATTCCAGGCAGTGATACATAAAACACAGGCCCTTGTAATTTTGGTATCTGCTCTTATCCTATGTTTAGGTGGCTTATTTTAGCTTAGAGAGAAAATGCTGATGCTTAAATTACTGAAATAGAAAAGTGTGTTCATTCACTTGATGATAGCTGAGGAAGTGTCTGACAAAAATGGTTTGCCTGCAAACCCCCCAAATGGAGCATATTTATTTTCTAATGACAGCACCTAAAATAGTTTATCTATTTATCATTAAATCAGGCTTAACTCTGGTTAAGAGTTTACTTTCGTAGAGCTCAGCATGCTGGAGATTCTATCAGTTCATTAACCCCCACAAATCATTAGCAGACAAATTTGAGCTCCATAGACGTGAGATGACCAATGTGTTCCTTCTTCCTTTTCCTTATAAGGAAAGCAATGAAGGAAGGGCAAAATAACTGAAAAAAACATTTCAGTCATTGTATATACAGGGACATTTACACCCTTGACGGTATATGCAGAACAGTTTGGTGACCTTGGACACTGTCAAGGGGAAAACCCAAAATAAAGAGAGGGTGAGAATTTAGCTGTCATATGTTTTAGCTTTCTTGGTATAATCATTTTGAAAATTACGTCATCTAAATATGAAGATGTAGTTTCATCCTCCATGGCTTCCCAATCCTTGAGTCCTGAATAAGAGGCAGGTGTCCCTGTCATGTTAGCTTATTTATAGATAAGAAGTAGAGGGCAGGTACCCAACTCCTGCAGAGCAGCCTCTTCCACTCACCCCAGTGTGCCATACAAGTACTATCATTTTCCATGTGTCCCATGATATGGAAAAGATCAGGAGTCACTGTCATATTTAACCACTCATAACTTTACTGTTGAGGAAACTCATTGGAATAATTTTATTTCTAATATTTCCAATATAGGTCACTGAGATTTTACTAGGCAAATGGAGACTTTTCATTAAGTCTATCAGTCTATCTGGAGGAATATATTTTCGTCTATATTTTTGACCATCCAAGTAAAAAAACCAATCCGGTAATTTTATTCCATGGAGAAGAAAACCTCTGGCAAAGTTTGTTAATTATTTTAAAAGGTTACAATTCCTTTTTAGCCTTTAATTTTGTGTCGAAAATGCTGTCTTTTTACAGTGAAATTTAAATCCTATCTTCATAGAAAATTTGGGTAGCAAGAAAAGATTTTTAGCTCTTTCTAATGTCAGAAACTTTGAAGCTGATTACGGAAATAATAAAATGTGGGACATAGAATAATTACAGATGCAAGTGACCTTGTCTTGTGTGTTTATAACAGTAGTTGATGGAAGAGACAAATTAGACAGGACTGGAGTTGTTATGGAAGGCTTGATTCAGGAGGTGGACATTTAGGATTTTTTATGTTAAGGGAGCAACAAGATCAACTTGATACTTTACAAAGAGAATTCTGGTGCATTAAGAAGGAAGGTTTCAGAATAGTAAAACTGAAGGTGGAAGAAACATATAGTCTTTTTCTTGACAATAAAGTTCTCTTCCTGGATACTTCTAGTGAAATTATAAGCACTACAACTCAAGGTAGTGTGTTACTGTAACTGTTCCATATCCTGTATTTTCTTTTTAACCTAAGTTTCTAAACAGTTGAAAGAGCTGAAAAGCTATTCTTGCTACCCAGTAGGAGGAATCTTCACTCTTCTCCTCTACTGTTCAGTTAGACTTTTGGGTCTTTGAGGTCTGAGATTTCTTCAGAGGGTAAAAGAAGTTAATTCCCTTTTTTGTATCACAATGGCTACAGGAAACTGAAAAGTGGGTGGTTTAAACCTTTATTTTTATAGCTTGACACCATCAAGGTGATCAAATTGTTTGCTTTTCTTTTTAGAGAGAGAAATGGATGGAGATGGGGTTGTTTTAGGACTGGGGAAGAAAGAATGTCCCTGTATATACAATGACTGAAGAGGTGGGGTTCTTTTAGGACTGGGGAAGAAAGAGGCTGGTTCACCAGGTGGAGGTTGTTGGAGGTTCTTCACAGTCCCAGGAACATAAAGGGTACTGGGAGCCCAGCAGCGGCCCTGTGATGCATTAGGATTCTCTGTGGGTGCAGAGGAGAACAAAACAGCATAGGCTTCACCCTGTGCTTGAACCTGGCATGGGAGAGAGGAGGTGCCTGTCTTGGAATGATCTGCTTAGGCCCTCAAAAGGGGCAGACACCAGTAGTAACCACTGCAGACAGATGACCACTCCACTTGACTACACCACCTTCTTCTTCTTCTTCTTTTTTCTTTTTAAGACAGAGTCTCACTCTGTTGCCCAGACTGGAGTGCAGTGGCATGATCTCGGCTCACTGCAACCTCTGCCTCCAGGATTTAAGTGATTTTCCTGCCTCAGCCTCCCAAGTAGGTAGGACTACAGGCATACACGGCCACACCCGGCTAATTTTTGAATTTTAGTAGAGATGGGGTTTCACCATATTGGCCAGGCTGGTCTCAAACTCCTGCCACAAGTGATCTGCCCGCCTCGGCCTCCCAAAGTGCTGAGATTACAGGCGTGAGCCACCACACATAGCTGACTCCACCTTCTTCTAGATTTAATTTGGTTCAAAAATAAGTAAAAGGTATGACACAGACTGAAAATAATAGCGTGAGTCATTCATTTGGCAGGAAGCTATGCTATTTCAGGAACAAACAAGGACCGGTGACTACAGAAAGGAGGTCATGGGAGGATCAAGGGCAGGAGAGCAGCCATGATGGAAATTCTTAAGAAGCAACTGACAGGGCTTGGAGCCCAGGGAAATGTGGAGGTAATGGAGGGACATGATTCAGAGGTTTCATGCTAGAATAACACAGAGAGTAGTAATAACCAAATGAATCTTAAAGCTTAATATTAAGTTGAGCATTATTTTCCACACAAAGAAAAACATGCAAAATAAGTTATATTGCTTACATGAGAGAATCACATACCAAAATCCCATCAGAGAGACAAGTAGGTCATCAGGTTCAAAGAATACCTAGACTTATGAAGGCAAAATGGATATCTTGCCTTGCTTCTATTTTGAATAAATGTGCTACCAACGATCCACCATCATGGAATGACATCTGAAAAAGGGAAATCATGGTGCTCGCTTCGGCAGCACATACACTAAAATCGGAATGATGTGGAGAAAGATTAGCATGGCCCCTGTGCAGAGGTAACCTGTAAATTTGTGACACGTTCTCTATTTTATTTTTTAAAAAAGAAAAGCTTGTTGCCCAGATCAAAACAATACAAAACAAGATTCTACCACTGCCACTGCCACAAATGGTCACTCTTTCTTGCTAAAGTTCCCAACAGAAATGAATCCTTGGGCCATTTCTTTTAAGTTACTTAGTCTGTATAACATCTCTGACTTTTGCAATACTGATAAGAGACAACCATCAGTGATAATATAACAGTGTGGAAAAAGGACTATTTTCATCATTGATGGACTAACTGCAACCTTGTAGCTCTGCTATCCTTTCTACTGTGTGTGTGTGTGTGTGTGTGTGCATTTCCTTCAAATACCTCTATTTCATATTTGGTGAACCAGTTTTCTAAATCCATATTTTCTTGAAAAACTGCAAGTAAAAAATATTTTCTTCTTGCAGTGCTTCATCCTGGAAGTCTTCTGTTAAGCATTGTTGGGTACACCAAGGTAGCCCCATGGACTCACTCAGGAGAACTCACAAACCTTGTTGCCCAAGAAAGGCACTCCTTGCAGAACGCTTGTGCAGAAAGGAGCTGGTGGGGATTTCATGGTGAGGTGAGCTGGTGGGGATTTCATGGTGAGGTAACAGCCTTGCTCTCGTCGACCGCTGTTGTGTCGTGTTTGTGACTTTCTATTTCTATTTCTGAACTAAGCCTGTTTTGGTTATTGATGTGCATACTACCACTTGGTTTTCCCACTGGTGGCAGGAAGGTTGAGTGGTGGGCTCATGGTCTAAACACCTGCATTCTCTAAGGCAGCAGACAACTTGAGTGCTTTCCAACGCTGATTATAGATCTTTTCTGATCACTGATGCAGTCCTGTGTATAGGTGGTCTTTGTTGTAATAAACTTAAATGTCTCAAACTGATTAGAGAAAAAATATTTTTTCCAGAAGGTCAGCTGGACTAGAGAGCAACCCCAGATTAGAAACATCACAACTCCTTTGTCTTCGTGGTCTCAGTAGTTCTATGACCCTCCTGTTTCCTGAGCTGCTAAAACTGACGGGCTCCGAGTTTATTTTTTTCCAGAAAACTTTTTTATTGCAGTAAAATACATTTAAAATTACCATTTCAAGTATAAAGTTTGTTGATATTATGTAGAATTATATCATTCTACAATCATACATCTCCAGAACTCTTTTCACCTTGCAAAATTGAAACTTCAAAAACATTTAAACAACTTCCCAACCCCTCCCTTCACTCCCCAGAAACCTCCATTCTACTTTCTGTCTGTATGAATTTGACAACCCTAGGTACCTCATGTAAATGGCAGCATAAAAGATTTGTTTTTGTGACTGAATTATTTCACTTAGCATAATGTCCTCAAGGTTCATCCATGTCATAGTGTATGTCAGAATGTACATTCCATTTTTTCCAGACATTCTCACTCTGTGATCCAGGGTGGAGTGCAGTGGTACAATTTCAGCTGACTGTAATCTTGTCCTCCTGGATTCAAGCAATTTTCATGCCTCAGCCTCCTGAGTAGCTGAGATTACAGGTATGTGCTACCACACCCAGCTAATTTTTTGTATTTTTAGTAGAGACAGGGTTTCACAATGTTCACCAGGCTTGTCTTGAACTGGCCTCAAGTACTCTGCCCACCTCAGCCTCCCAAAGTGCTGGCATTACAGGTGTGAGCCACTGCACATGGCCAGAACTTTCTTTTCAAGACTGAGTAATTTTCCATTGTGTGTATATACCATATTTTGCTATTCTTCTGTTGATGAAATATTGGGTTGATAATTCATTTTCATGATTGTGAATAACGGTGTGAACAGGGATGTACAAATATCCTTTTACTTTCAATCTATTTCTGTCTTTGAATCTGAAGTTTTTTGTAGGCAACATATAATTGGATCATATTTTTTAATGCCCTCTGTCTTTGATTGGAGAGTTTAATCCATGTATATTTAAAGTAATTAGTAATAAAGAGGATCTTTTTTCTAGCATTTTACTTTGTTGTCCATATGCCTTATAGCTTATTTTTGCCCCTAATTTCCTGCATTACTATCTTGCTTTGTGTTGACTTTTTTGTAGTGAAATGTTTGAATTTTGTTCTCATTTCCTTTTGTGTATATAGTTTAATGATTTTCTTTGTGGTTACCACAGAGATTACATTTAACATTATACCATTATAATTTTGAATTTATACCAAGTTAACTTCAATAACATACAAACACTTTGTTCATTTACAGTTTCATTCCATACTTTTTGGTTATTGATGTCACAAAATTACATCTTTGAACATTGTGTACAAAAACATAAATAATTGTTTTTTAAAAAATGAATTAGTCTCTTAAATTATATAAACAACAAAATGTGGAGTTTTAAGACAAAGTTATAATAATGTTAGCTTGTAGACTAGTAATTGTTTTTTCTTAAATGTACTGAATCATGTAGAAAACAAAGTAGCATTATAAACCATTGTTAAAACAATATGAGCTTTATAATTGCCTGTGTATTTATCTTTACTAAGATATTTATTTATTCTTATACCTTTGAATTATTGCTTAGTGTTCTTTCATTTCAACATGGAGGACTCCCTTTAGGATTTCTTACAGTGCAGGTCTAGTGGTAATGAACTCTCTTAGTTTCTGTTTATCTGAGAATGTCTTAATTTTTCCCTCACTTTTGCTGGACATAGGATGCTTGGCTGACAGTTTTATTTTTTTTTCTTTTAGCACCATAACTATATCAACCTACTGCCTTCTGGCCTTCAAAATTTTGATTAAAAAATCAGCTGATAATCCTACTTTGGATTGCTCGTGTGTGGTGAATAATTTCTCTAGGTTTTCAAGATTGTTTATCTTTGGATTTCAGCAATTTGATTGTAATGTGTTTCAGTCTGGGTATCTTTGAGCTTATCCTATTTGAATCTCCCTGAATTCTTGAGTGTTTATATTTATGCCTTTCATTAAATTTGGTAAGTTTTAGCCATTATTTCCTCTAATAATCTCTCTGCCCCTTTCTCACATTTTTTTTTCTCCTGAGTCTTTCATAGTGTGTATGTTTATCCTCTTGAAGATAAACCTCTTAAGATTCACAGAACCCTTAAGCTCTGCTCCTATTCTTTGATCTTTTCTCTTTCTGCTCTCCAAAATCAATAATTTCAATTGTTGTATCTTCAAGTTTGCTGATTCTTTCTTCTGCCTGCTCAAATCTGCTTTTGCATTTCTTGAGTGAATTTTTCATTTCAATTATTGTACTTTTCAGCTCTAAATTTTTTAGGTTTTCTATGTCTTTATTGTCTCCATTTTGTTCATACATCATGTTCTTGACTTTTTCCATATCTTCCTTTAATTCTTTGAACATCTTTAAAACAGTTGCTTTGAAGTCTTTGTCTAGTAGGTCTACCTTTGTGCCATTTTTCAGCTATGGCTTATGTGTTTGGGTTCCCCCTGCTTTGAACTGGTCATACTTCCCTGTTTCATTGTATGCCTGTGGTTTTTGTTGTTGTTGAAACTGAAAATTTGAATGTAATAACGGGTTATCTGAAAACCAGACTCTTCTTCTTTTCCAGGGTTTGTTGATTTTTGCTTGTTTTGTTTTGACTGTTTTAGGCTATCTCTGTGCCAAGAATTAGCCTTAAGATCTTCACTGATGTTTTCTGAGGATAAGCGTTTCCCTGGGCATGCGCAAGGGCTCTCTTATTTTCTCTTGTATATGCAGTTGCTTTTGAATATTCTAGTCTTTAATGACTGGCTCCCAAAAAGGGAAAAGAAAAAAATAAAATGGATGAGGAGGGTGAGGGTGTTAGCTCTTTAAATTCTCTGAAAATAACTTCAGCCAAAGATAGAAGGACTTGAAATCATGGTATGTGTAGGTACAACAATGGCTGCTTACCTCTGTGTTTGTATCTCTGTAGTCAGGAGCAGCAATCAGTAGAAAGAACAGATCCCTGATATTTAGAGGACAGGGTCTTTTGTGCCAACCCTGACTTCTGACAGCTCTAAGTAAGCTGCTCTAGGAACACATGCACAGCTACCTGCCACAGGGCTGAGTGGTGGGGGATGGGTAGCTACTGCTGAGCTAAGCAGAGATTAACCAAATAAACTGTACTTTACTGTCCAAGTCTTCTGAAACTTTAAGCCTTCAATAGACTCCAGAGTTTCAAAATAGTTACGTCCGTGTGATGGTTAATATTAGGGTCAGTTTGACTGGATTAAAGGATGCCTAGGCAGCTGGTAAAGTATTGTTTCTGGGTGTGTCTGTGAGGGTGTTGCTAGAGGAGATTAACGTTTGAATCAGTGGACTGGGAGAGACAGACCCACCCTCAATGTGGGCGGATACCATCCAACTGGCTGCCAGCATGGCTAGAACAAAAGCAGGTGGAAAAATATATGATAAGATGCCTTGCTGAGTCTTCTGGCTTTCATCTTTCTCCATGCTGGATGCTTCCTGCCCTTCCTTGAACATCAGATGCCAGGTTCTTTGGCTTCTAGACTCTTGGACTTACACCAGTGGTTTGTCAGGGGCTCTTGGGCCTTCAGCCACAGACTGTAGGCTACAATGTTGTTTTCCCTACTTTTGAGGCTTTTGGAGTCAGACTGAACCACTAATGGCTTATGTCTTCATCAGCTTGCAGATGGCCTATCATCGGGCTTCCCCTTGTGATCATGTGAGCCAATTCTCCTTAATAAACTCCTTTCACTTATACATATATCCTATTAGTTCTGTCCCTCTGGAGAACCCTGACTGATAGACAGATTCTGCCAATGTGATTGTGTCTAAGTGGGGAGGCAGATTCCTGGTGCTTCCTACTTCTCTATCAGCCTAGAATCCTCTCCCCTCTCTGAATTTACTTTTCATCAATGATTGATGACATAAAGATCAGGAGCTGATTTCTGTGTGATTGGATCTCTGTAGGTTAGTGTGAAAACAGAGTTTTTTCCCTTTTGAATATAAGGGGTTGTTTGATGTTTACAATGCTGGAATGTTTTGTCTCTCCTTTCTCTTTTGGGAAATAGTTGGAGCTTAATTTATAGAAATCTGTCATTTGTACACTATAAATATGTCTAATTTAAACACAGTCTATCATCAAAGGGGAAAATATATGCAAAAAAAAAATCTATATTTTAAAACTGGTTAATGCGGCTTACGGACCCAATTGGTGAAGCATTCAAAATGGTATTGCTTAGTTATTGAAAATTTTTGCATGCTTGTCAACATGGGAAAGGTCTCTTCTGGATTGTCCAGAGGTCTCTGACCTCCAGAAACATCTGAAAGCTTCTGAGTGTATACCTTCTTTTCCCCTAAAACAAAATACATGGAATACTACTTAGCAATCAAAAGGAACACCTATATGCTACAACCTGAAAACATTTGAATGGTATTATGCTAAGTGAAGAAAGCCAATCTCAAAGGGTTCTATATTGTAAGATACCACTTACATAACATTCTTGAAATAACAAAATTATACAGATAGAGAACAAATTAACAGTTGCTAGGAGTTTGGGATAGTTGGGGAGACTGTGACTATGACAAGATGGTACAACAAATATTGTTGGGTTGAGGGAATAATTCTGTATCTTGAGAGCCTTGATGGTTACACAAATCCAGACATGTGATGACACTGTACCTACATGCTGTAACGTTACTTTCCTGATTTAAATATTGTGTTATAGTTACATAAGCATAGCCATTGCTGTGAACTAGGTGAGGGATACACAGGACCTCTCCTTGCTATCTTTGCAATTTCCAATGAATCTATAATATTTTTAAGTTAAAAATTAGAAAAGTCACACAGAAATGTAGAAATATGCGAATAAACATGTGTTGACAAAAAGGTGCCAATAAATCTTAAAATGCATCTCCTGGTTCAACCCACAATGGACTTGCCCAGCATTACAAAAAAATAGCACATATTATATAAGAAGAAATCCAGTTACAAACTCCTGAATCTTCCAGCATACCCAAGAGTTTGATGGGGATTCTTCTGTTGTGTGTGTTTCAACACTGTCTGTGTCTACAAATTGGTGTAAGTTTTCAACTCTCTGGATGAGACTGACAAATGGAGCTCCTGATTTGACTGACTTATGGAAACAAGGAAGTCCTCATATATGTAATGACACAAGAAAACTAAAAAGTCACCAATGAAAATACTCTCCAAATGCTTTAATTTGCTGGTCCTTTAAGAAAAAAAATCTTTCACAAAAGCTTATTTCAAAGAAAACCACAAAGAAATTTCACAATGAATTAAATTAACAGCCTTGGTAGTTAGGATAAAAAATTTGAAGCAAAGGAATAAAAGTTGATACGAGGTTAGCAAAGACAAGGGGGAAAAAATAGCACTAAGATACTTCAGGACCTTTAAGAACATTTGAAGAGGTTTCAGTCTTTGGTATCTAAGGTAAAAAGAGTTGATGCAGTATTTTTAGCTAAAGCAAATCCGTGCAAAACGAGACTGGTTTGATAATATTAGGGGAAAAACAGAGCTGCGTCTTTTCCCTGATTTTATCATGTCATAAATCTTTTGTTAGTGTGATCTGTTTTATAAAAGATTAGGTTTATTTCCTCAATTTTTAATAATATGAATCTTTAAGATTTCCAGTTCTAGGTTTATTAGACAGATAAGCTAACATTATTATTTAAAAACGTAAACAGGTTGACAAGTGTTCAGCTAGACTGAATTTTAATGACTGCTGTTTCATGAAGGAGTTGCTCTTCTTCACCTTGGAGAATTCTACAGAAGTCTGTTACTGAGTTACTCCATGAAACTCCTCTGAGTAAAATTTTTAATGTCCTCATTTTGGAAAAACACTGTCCACGAAACTCATAGGCACATACATATATACTCTTCAAATATCTGCAAATGTACAAATGTCTTGGACTTGTTCATGTTGCTACTTCATGAAATACAAAAACAATATATCAGACTGTTAGAGGAAGTGCATTGTGAGTCTGGGAGTCACAGGCAGCTTTCTGGAATCTCAGCTGATCTCAAGTACACACAGGCAACTGTCTCCTAGCCTTCTCTATGTCTGTAATTACTCAGTTACATTGTTTCAAAGCCATAACTAATATGAGTAGTTGATGCTGTATGTTAGTTTTCTAACGCTGCTGTAATAAATCACCAAGTTTAGTGCTTTAAACCTAGATACATTTATTATGTTACAGTTCTGCAGGTTAGAAGTACAACACTGGTATTACTAGGCTACAGTTAGGGTGTGGGCAGGGCAGCATTCTGGGAGCTCTAGGCGAGAACAGTTTTTTTGCTTTTTCCAGTTCCTAGAGTCCACCTGCCTTCCTTGGCATGCAACCTTCTGTTTCTACCTTTAAAACCTGCAACAACATGGGCTGAGTCTTTCTTATGTCACATCACTCTGACCCTGTCATTTGTTCCCAACAGCTACATTTTCCACTCTTAAGGACTGTTGTTACTACATTGGGTCCACTGGGATAATCCAGGGCCTTCTTCCTAACTCAAGGTTAGCTGATTATTAACCTTAATTCCTCTCAGCCATGTAAGGTGGCATAGTCACAGGTCTGGGGGAATAGGCTGTGGACATCTTTGGGAGGACCGTTATTCTGCTTACTACACTATACTGGGTACAATCATTGTAAAATAATATGAACATGTCTATAAGATAATGGAATGCATTTTTGTTTATCAAGGAAGAAAGCGTGTCTAAGGTAAAGACGTCTGGCTGTGTGTTAATACATAAAATAAGTAAGACATATTCGAGCATGTGCAGTAAGTTACGTTAAGTTTGAGAAGGAGTGAACCTTATTTGCTTTGGTTTATAATGCCTGGAAATAACAAATTGGAAAAAAAGCAATGAAAGATGTGACAGTTTTTATAAAGCTTGGGTCATTTTGATGAGTTTACTTACAAGATAGAGAAAAGGCTTGTGAAGTCTCTACTCTGCAAATGTTGCACGAGCAGGGCACAGATAGGAAGTTAGAATTGGGTCTTCTCTCTGAGTATACTGAGTATATGCTCTGCTTTCTCTAAGAAATTGTGAAGAATAGTCTATGCTCAAAGAGCAAAAGCATCTTTTATCAAAGAAATCCTCCTACTTGATATCCTGTTAATTTTTTGTGCTTTTGTTAATCTCTTGAATCACTTTTAGCAAAATTTACTCACTTGTGGAAATGCTAAAGTTTATCTTTTAAATTAATATCCAGTAAAAGATCCTTGCTTATGAAAATGCCAGAGGTCCTAATAACTTCTTTAACTGCTTTTCTGTAAATAGGATCATTCTGGGCCAAGCGGAAGTTATGTCTTGTCTTTAGCCACTCTAGATGTACCCTCATATCTTGCATCCTCAGTTAACTCTTTTTGAAATTGCCTTCCACAAATCTGAACCCCATAGTCAAACTGATACAACTTTTGTTTGTTTGTTTGTTTTTTGAGATGGAGTCTCACTCTGTAACCCAGGCTGGAGTCCAATGGGGTGATCTCGGCTCACTGCAACCTCTGCCTCCTGGGTTCAAGCAATTCTCCTGCCTCATCCTCCCAAGTAGCTGGGATTACAGGTGTCCACCACCACACCTGGCTAGTTTTTTGTATTTTTGGTAGAGACAGGGTTACACCATGTTTGCCAGGCTGGTCTTAAACTCCTGACCTCAGGTGATCCACCCACCTCGGTCTCCCAAAGTGCTAGAATTACAGGTGTGAGCTGCTGCCCCTGGCTTCAAACAAATACAACTTTTAGAAGTATCTTACATTTAAACCATCTTTGGGGTTTCTCAGAAAGCTTCTGGTGACACCAAAGACTTTTCTTCTTCACCTTATGAGAAAAGGGATGCTTTCTATGTTCAGCATTCTGCAGATTTTTATTTGGTTTAATACTATGCTGAGAACTGTCCTGTAAATCAAGAATTCAATACAAAAAGACCTGCCAAATGAAAAAGTGAAAAGCTCAACCACCACTTAATTATGACAAGTAAAATGTGATCATTGTGATTATGCTTTGGCAGTGATGCCCTTTTCATTGTGGAGAGAGGCACACTGTCTTTCATGTTAAAGAATGGCACAATAATGGTCAACAATTCTTTAAAAGAAAGATCCCATTTCCACATTTAAAAGAGCCTTTTCAGTTGGTGGTCATCCTAACACATATTGGATGGACTGAATTAAAAGACCGTGGAGATTGTTCTCTGGCCTCACTGCACCACTCTCATGGCAGTCACTAATTCTTCATGAAACTAAACTGGCTTCCATTTTGATATTAGTGGTTACAATGAGTAAATAACCAGGTGCATTCAGCCTTAGCACCAACAGGTGGTTTCTGATTTTTTGTCACACTATCCTAAACATCTCTGCCAAGGCCATGGATCAGTAATGATACCTGCTGGAAGGAACATCACAATAGCTTGATGAAAGGACTCTGACAAGTACATTTGACACTTGATAGAATAGAAAATTGGATCTTGGTTACACGCATCCCTCTATTGGCTGAAACCACCACCACAAATGAAGACTATGGAGGGACTGAGTCAGGAGTTCCGGAACTGGTTTATGGGGGAAGCAGACAACTTTGAGAAACTGGAGTGCTTAGTAATCAACAAAACCAGGATTAACCACCTAGACAAAATGACGCAAATCTCGTTGTGGTTACTGTTCTGATTTGGATCAGGCATGTTATAGAAGTCTTTTTTCTATTTCCTCTGTCTCCAGTGCTTGATCTAAAAGGTTATGTTTATAAAGACTAGAATAAAACATTCCTTAAATGGAATCTTCTAAGTAATCCTTCTAAATTCATTTAAAAAATCCTTAACAATTTTTAAAACAGATGATGATAATAAATTATCAGGAAAAGCTAAATTTGTAATATTCCTGCAGACACTATGACATATGTTGATTGCTCTGAGACTATATAACAACTAAAAGCAATAGTCACCTTATTATTTAACTACTATTATTACTAATCTGAGTGTTTTTCTTTAGCCATAGGCTTTCAAATTTACCTAGAATCTGTCTTCCTTCTTACCAGAATGTAACAGAGTAAATCAAATCTGTGATAATCAACATGTCAGAGGTGTTACATTTAAAGGTAAATATGATTTAATTAAACATGACAAGCTCGTTTAAAATGAGTGCACTTCATACGTGGGGTTAATGCCTACAACATCCTCTCAGGACACTGGCTTGGTTCATGTTGTGTGGGGTCCCCAAGCCCTGGGCCACAGACCAATATTGGTCCATGGCCTGTTAGGAACCAGGCCACGTGGCAGGAGGTGAGTGGCCGGCAAGTGAGCTTACAGCCTGAGCCTCACCTCCTGTCAGATCAGTGGTGGCATCAGATTCTCACAGGGGTGTGAACTGTATTGTGAACAGAGGGATCTAGGCTGCGCTCTCCTTATGACAATCGAACTAATGCCCAATGATCTGAGGTGGAACACTTTCATCCTAAAATCATCTTCCCCACCGACCTCAGTCCATGGAAAAATTGTCTTCCATCAAACTGGTCCCTGGCACCAAAAAGGTTGGGGACAGTTGGCTTAGGGAATCCCAACTCTGCAGGTAGTATGGCCAGGAGCACTGAAAACTTGTAGCTCAGAGAGATGGAATGCTTTTTGAGACATAGCTAATGGATGTGAAACCTGGAAGAGGTGAGCTTTGAATCTGAAAGTTCTGAATTACTGATTTCAGTCATCTGGAATCAAATATTTCTGCCACAAATATAAAAGTGACCACAAAGCAAAAGTTTATCCTCAAGACTTGATATCATAGAGCTCTCATTTTTATAACCATGCAAAGAGGTGTTGTGAATGAATCAACACTGCTTGCTATATCTATGTCTATACAACTGGTCCAATAAGACAACATATCAAATGATCACAAATAAGAAAACTGCTGAACAAACGCCTGTGGATAAATTCGTATTTCAGGGCGGAACGTCAGCATTAGGAAGAACTGTGAAGGCACACCGGGACCCAGCTCCACCCCTGTCATGGCAGCAGACACATCATGCGCTTTACCCAGTCCCCATACAGGGAAATAGAACAAAGCCAAGCTCAGGAAAACAAACCCAAAGCAAACAAGCAAGCAAACAAACAAACAAACCACACAGTCGCCCTTCTACTGCAGTCCCAAGTAATGCATCTTTGACCCACTTCCTAACAGTTGTAGACTCCCCGGACAGCAGCGTCTCCGACACTGGCAATACCGACATGTGACAAGGTGATTACCTTGTGAGAAAACTGCTGTTTGCCCAGCATGACCTGACAATGTAACCTTATAAACCGGGGTAATTTTGTACTTCTTAAGTTTTAAATGGAGAAGGCTGGTCTTAATTCTGGCTCCCCTGCAACAATCCATAAGAAAGCCCTTTCTTATCTGGATGCTTTTTCTTTCTGTCTTCCTTTCATGCAGTGGAAAATGGCTGTGGCAACACGAACCTTCTGGATTGATCACACCGGTCTCTTTTTCCCAGAAAGGGACCTGTTCATCTCCACATCTGCCCCCTTGCTCCTGCCAGATTCAAATAAATATTTCATGAGATGGCGTGATTAAAAAAAAATCTTCTTTTATAACCTGCCTGTTTTAATCGATTAGAGAATTATTAAAATAGAAAAAGAGAGAGAGAAGGAATAAGAAGGGACCAGCTGGAGCCAGGGGATCAAATAGTTTCTATGGGCAAGGATAAGACAAATTCTAGAAGGCATACTAAAGTTCCTTATGCTTTTTTCTAATAACCATTATTTTTTAAAAAAACAAGTACAGGCTGGGCACAGTAGCTCACACCTGTAATCCCAGCTCTTTTGGAGGCCAAGGCTGGTGGATTACATGAGGTCAGGAGTTCAAGACCAGCTTGGCCAACATGGCGAAACTGTGTCTACTAAAAATGCAAAATTTAGCCAGGCATGGTGGCGCATACCTATAATCCCAGCTACTTGGGAGGCTGAGGCAGGAGAATCACTTATATCAGGAAGGCGGAGGTTGCAATGAGCCAAGATCACACCACTGCACTCCAGCCTGGGCAACAGAGCAAACCCCGTCTCAGAAAAACAAACAGAAAAACAAGTACAGACGTGTAACACATATAAGATCCTATTTCACATGCCCAAACTGGCAAGCAGTTGGTCTGAGAAAATGATTCAAAGAGTAACTCAATCCTCTGAAAAGAAATAACACTGAATGAGGCATAATCTTGTAAGTTTACGGCATATGGTATGCAGTTCTTTCTAGAGTTATTACACTCAAATAAACAACCGATTCCATCTGTTTGGAAGACAAAAGGAATCGTATGTTTCAGTACCTTGTCTCATCCAGGGGAATTCACTGAATTAGATTCTGAGAAATTCTCACACTGTTGAAGTGTGAAGAACTAAGAAAATAGTAGAACTACGGGCAGGAAGGTGGCTGAGAGATGCATATTTAACCAGTATAAGAAAGATTCTAAAAATAAAAATGGCAGTTAATTAACTTCAGATTTGCTGAAGTTCCTTTTTGAACTAGAAATAAATTGATTTTTTAGAAATATTGAAGATGAGGCAAGCAACTAATATGATCCATTTTAACAGGACTTAAATAATTTGATTAACTATTAAGCATGGTAGCCATAAAAATAATTATCTCAAGTCCTTGACTCATTTTAGCAGAAAGGAAGTAAAGATGAAAATTTAAACTTACTGATTCCAGCTTCAGGGGAGACACCTAGCAAGGGTGTTGTATTTTTTGGTCAAGATTGATATCTAACAAAGACCCAAGAACTCTCCTAAGATGAAAATTTCAGAAGACAATTGTCTTTTGGAGGCAAATGAGATCAGTGCTTCTCTAAAGAAAAGTTTGTTCTCATGAATGGAACCTGAAATCAGTCCTCCAACCTGAGTGACATTAGAATAGCAGTATTTCATTGATTACTGCAATAGCTTAATGATGAATTATGAAATCACATTCCCTCATTCTCGCTTTTCCAAATTGATTTACACCTCTGCCAAAGTAAAAATCAGATCTAATTAAGGATATGGAGAGAGGGAATCATCTCTTGTTTTTTCTCATAGGCTATTACTCATAGATTACATTATGTAGTGTTCTAACTTTTTCAAGAACATGCACATTCATTATTTTCATTTGTAGCTTGCATTACCCTAGGGATATAAAAATGGCAGGTATAATTTCCAATTTATCTAGAAGACAAATAGAAGTTAAAGGATATGGGAAAGGTCGCAGAGCTGTCTTCTAAGCTTTGGTGGCTATAAGTCTCTTGGGCAGAAGTTCTACTCTCCAGCCCAACCCTCCCGACTCCCTCCTCTGAGCTCTTTTCACAGGGATAGACTGCCTTTACTACCTGTGTGACACCTTCCCAATCAGGCATTTATTCAGCCAGTCATTCCAAAAACATTCATTGAAGTTGCATCTGGTTTGCTGATGTATATAACATATTAACTGCGTATAGGATGGCAGCTAACAAACCTATGTCTACTGACAAAATGTAAACTAAGGATAGGATGACAGTTAATAAACCTGTCTACTGATAAATTAATAAACAATTTGCATGAGGCTTTTGACCACACAAGGTAAGAAGGTACAACAGCACTTTGAGTGTTGAAAATTGCATTCACATTCATTCTGTTGCAGTTATTAATTACTTCTAAGCACGTCTGGGGAATACTAGTTTGATAAGGTGCTATGTCCTAAATAGGGTTTCCCTGTAACACAAATGCAGGAAATGCTGTACTTGATACTCATCTCAGAGACTTGCAAGGCATTAGCAAATTTACTTTGAATTAGCAAAGTAAAGGCTCGGAGCAGACCGACAGACACAATGAAGGCAACTGTTTAACTTTGTTTAAGCACAAGGTTTGCCAAACTTATCAGAATAGACACAGCTGTCTTGGGCATGGCATCCATTCCCTTCCCAGAGAAGTGGGGGTCTGAGGGCTCAGCCTGGGGCGCCTCTGTTACCGTTCTTCTTCCTTCTATTAATTTTCGTGTCACCAAGTGCACACAGATCTTTACACCACAGAAGCTGTAATTTTCCAACTTAAATTAATGTTGACGAAAATGAAAACTGAAAGAAAAACTCTTACTATGAAAAAGGAATGGTCAGAGAAGATGTACAGTATCTGTTTTAAGTGTTGGCTGATGGGAGCAGCTCACCCCAATACACTTTATTCCTAATGCGTCTGTCTCGTTCTTATGTTATACATGCACACCTTGTTTACAGAGGACTTCATAAACTAGAGAGATATATGGCATTAAAGAGGACATATCATTATTTGCCTAAGATTTCATCTTCCTTATTAACCAATGAGATGTTTATGGATGAATTCCATGATGGTTCTCAAACAGAGGAAGTTCACTGTATAAAACCCCTTTAATTTCATTGCCCAAGTCAGTTTTTGTCCTGGGACCCACCAGCCAAGGCAATGCTGGTTTCCACATGGCAATTCTACTTCTAATGTAAATTATGGAATTGAGCTTTGGATACCAAGAAGGCTTAGGTGGCTTTGGGTCACTGGTTTGCTAGGGTCTGATTTCGCTTATACAAAATCTGTACATCAAGCATTTTCTCCAGCTGAAATAGGCCTGAGAAGGCGCAAGCCTGGTGTGGCTTGGGGTGGCTGGACCATCACTTAATGTCTTCTCCTAACCCATATAATGGGGCCCTGATTACATGCTAGGTGCCTGAACTGGTTCCAGATCTTATAAAAGCCTTGTCCCCCTTATGTTTAGGAGGCAATCTCCTTTCCTAGACACAAGATAGTTTAGAGGGTTCTTAACAAAAAAGTAGTAATATCCTTTCTTAAAAAATACTTCCGATCACTTGTCTTCACTTTGAGATGGATCTTTAACAGTGTTGGCTTATAAAACATTTGATATCTAGGTCAGAGCTTATTTTTTAATTTGTTAGTTTTTTTCAAGGTGAAGAAATTGGGTCTGTGTTGTAATTTGACACAGAATTTTTATTTCAAGAGAAATAACCCAAAGATACTTAAAATGTATTTTGGTAAAATTGGTTTAGGCTTTAGATATTTCTCCAAATGTCCTAGCTGGTGAAAACACTATTCCTGTGAATGGTAAGAATGTCTCAGGCTATATAATATTGATTGTATCTTTGTTAATTAACCACAGTAGACATTTTTAATGAAAGTGTTATCATTATTAATAATCTACCCAGGATTCTAGCACTTAGATTATAGGCTTATGTTGTATGTGTAAAATATACAGGATTTATATTTGATGAGTTTAAAACTCTGGTGGTTGTATTTGTGCTATACTAAAAAATATCAGTAACTATATGTTGTAATTATATGAACTATTCACAAGTAGATAGGTAGAAAAAACCTAAGGTATGATGAAATGAATAAAAAGAGACCAAGTAGATATAAAAACAGAAGAAAACATGAGCTTAGAAGACCAAAAATGGACCAAAGTTCATTTTCACTAATTTTACTCAATTAAAATGACTTATTTTTATATCTGAGCTAAGCTGATGATCCACTTTTTACAAGCAATATTAATACTGCAACATTTCAGGAAAAGAAAAAAAGCTGCTGTCCTTTGGCGATTTCCTTATTGGGATGGGATTTCACTTGTAGCAAAGGAGAAAGATTTGATGAGTAAAAGAGATTGCATAGCAGATTAAAAAGGCAGGAAAATATTAGACACAGAGCTTCTGCACATCCACTGGCTCAAGCCTCAGGAAAGTTTCGGTGTTTGAGTTTTTCTCCTGAAATTGCAATTTTTGGAAAACTTTACGTATCTATTTGTCTCCCTCACTAGGGAGCCCAGGCAGGGAATAGAGGCCGTCATTCACACTTGGCTGAGAGTAACTGCCCACAGGCACAGGCCCTGCATCTTCCAGCAGGTTGTTCAGCGGGGTAGCAGCCTCTGCCCTGCAGGAATCTGATGCTCCTGGCTGTCTGCTCTCATTCTGCAATGACGTGCGGTGACAGGAGGTCCCTTCCCTTAGTAAGAATGACTTCTTAGCAGTGTCACCTTCTGAAATGCAGACACCAAGTGTGCCCTGGACACTTCCCTGCCACTGTATCAAGCCCACTTGGCATGATCTCACAGACAACAATGAGGTGAGTGATCATCTGCAAGGATTGCAGGAGCCTACACGTTGGTCGACAAGTAGCTTAATTATTATTGCACAGTCACTATGGTCAAACCAACCAAACCATGCAAATCCACACATCCATCCAGCAAAATAATTAGGGGTCTTCACATTACAGAACGATATTTTCTATGCACATTTCATAATCCAATATGAGCAGTCCGTCCTACCCTATTTTCAGAGTGAGCAGAAACTACAGTATGCTTGCAAAAAAAAAAAAAAAAGGATGGGTTGTTGGTTTATTTGAAAGTCTGAAGATTCAATGATGTTTGTTTGGTTTAAGTAATTCCATTAGTTACACAGAGCTTATGCAGCAACTGTTTTCCTTCCAGTGTCACATTGCTAATGTCAAGTTCAGGTAAGCATGTGCCTGAATACAAATATAGGAGCAGAGCACTGGACAGGGACAGGGATAGATGCTGGTGCTCAAAGGAAACTGTCACTTGAGACACAGCACAGGGTCAGCTCGTGGTTCTGCTATTCCTCACGTGACTCAGGCCAGAACAGAGCTGGATAAAAATGTGGGGCTTTAGGGGTTATAGAGTAGTTTCCCCTTGGGCCACCAATGGGGCCCCTGAGGGCCCCTG